CAGCTTCATGACCTTTGACCTCTCCTTGAAAGCAATGTGCCCACCCTCTCCGTCTCCTTTTCTCGCTCCCTCTCCAGAGCCAGACCCCGGAGGTGCGGTTTCAGCAGCAGCTGGAGCAGCTCAGCGCCATGGGCTTCATCAACCGGGAGGCCAACCTGCAGGCCCTGATCGCCACCGGGGGAGACATCAACGCCGCCATCGAGAGACTGCTGGGCTCCCAGCCCTCCTAAACGCAGGATCCTGCGCTCGAGGGAGGAGGGGAGGGGAGGGGTGGAGAGAGGGGAACCTCTAGGAACACAACACATTTAACACAACTCAACACGGCACGCCTGTGCCCATCTGCATTCAGGGGGTTGGGGGAGGGGAGAGATGTTTCCACTTGCACTCCTGTTGTTTCTCGCAACGTTGAACGGAGGTCTTTCTGCTGGGGAGACACATGATCCAGCTAGCCTGCCTACGAGACTAATTCCACTTTCTCACTGGGTTTGACTGGGGGGTGGGGGATGGGGGTGGGTAATGTGTGTGTGTGTGTGCGCCCCCCTCACACGGATGCATACTGTGGCTGTGGTGGGGGTGGGGGGTGTCTGTACATCATTAGACCCATCCCGTGTTCTCCACTCAATACAGAGGGGCATCCTGGGAGGAAAGAAATAACAGGAAAGGAGTCCCATACATTCAGGTTTATAGCCGGTTGACCCCCTGAGATCATGAACGGTTCTTCCTCATCTGGAAAACCCAAGTCCGGGCAGCAGTGGCAGGAGGACAAAGCTCTTGCGATTGTCAGTTTCTTAAACGCTTTCCGGAATATATGGTGTTGGATCATCAAAATGAATCGGGGGGGTTTCGGGGGTTCTTCTGAAAGCTGGAAGAGTTTTAAGGTTTTCCATTGATTATTTCATGCCTGCTTCATGTGACTATTTATTGTAATTTGCTATAGAATTTCCCTCAGCCTCCTCTTCCTAGCACTTTATTACTAATCGGTTAGAATCTGCAAACGTCCCGCCGCATTCCAGTCTAGAGTTCAGGATCACTGAGGGTGTTCCACTTTCCTCTGGTTATATTTGCATTTTACGATTTGTAGAGCCTGTGTACGTGGCTGTAACATGCAGATTTTCGGTTTCTCTTTGAACCCTCCCCTGCTTTACTGGTGGAAATCTGGTAGAAGCTTGGCTCAGCATTTTCTTTTTCACATCAGTGCTCCAGTACATCTGTCCCGTGGACACGCAGAACTTTAATTTTTAATATACTAAAATAAAAGAGACTGGTCGCTACGCTCTCAATCTGATAGTGTTCAAGTTCTTACTCGAAAAGGTCTCCCGACTTTTGGACAGTTTCTGTTTTAACATTAGCGTTTGCTGAATCTTTTCTCTTCCTTCACAGTTCCACTTTCAAGTCTCGAGCCCCACTTGTGTGCCGGATGGTTGGAAAGACTTTGACTATAATGTTTTTCCTTCATCAGAGGGAACCAGGTGTAGATTACAGTGGCTGATTAACCAGCACCTAGAAGGCAGAGAGCCTTTTACAGCTGATGAAGATGAAGTGCTTGGTCAGGCTGAATTCTTGACTTGGTGCTGACCGTGTCCAGTGCTGACTTACGAGAGGTCATCTAATTCCTGGCCATCACATTTCCCTTTTGCCTTGTGGTCTCTGCTATAGCTGAGTTCCCATCTGATGCACAGACACATGATTGAACTGGGCAGCTTGTTTAATGAAATGTTTAGAAAATTCCAGGTCATTTACAGTACATGAAAAGGATGAGTAGAGAATTTGAAACCCGGCTTCTTCAGAAGTTGGGAAGCAATCTGAAAGATGTAACTAATAATGATAAAGTGAAAACCAGCAGACGTTGATCAGTGGAAGACATTCTTTAATGTTTTCTCATCTGATGCGTCCAGGTCTTTCCATGTGTACATCCTGTAAGATGAAGCCAACGTAATTATTCCTTAGGGTTAGTACTCTTTCATGGATTAATCAGTAACACTGTCCTTTTTCCTGCTGCATGGATCGGTTATATAAGATTTAATTAAAAATCGCACCAAAATCACGTTTTTCAGCTGAATAGTAACTTGGTTTTTCATGCTTCTTCAGAGAGACTCTTTAAATTAAGTGCATTAACCGTAATTTTCTTTCAAATCTGACTTTCTGGAAGTTTTTGGTTGTGAATTCATCCACATCCATCTTAGCTGGCACATTAGATTTAAAGATGGACCTGGGGGGAGGGCGGGGGGACAGGGGAGTGACTCGAGGTCAAAGATGGGTGGCAGGTTCTATCTCAACCTCAGAAATCCTTCTGGCAAAATGATTTTTCAAGCGATGGAGGCTTCTGTTTTCAGATGTGTGCAGTTTGAAAGAAATTAAAGGGGCCACTGTGTACCTCAGTCAGGAAAGGTTGCCCACTCTGAGCCCAGTTTGTGCTGTGTGGACTGGGTCATGTTACTAGCTGACTGTGACTGGGATTCCCACACTGGTGGTGTGCAGTTGGCTGAGTTCCTCTGGCCCAGGGCGCTCAGTGAAGCTATTCCTGAGGTTTCCTGGGCACCAGGCCTGACGCCACTTCTGCACAGGACGTGCCTCTCCTCCGCTCACTGCTGACCCTCCTGTAAGGATACGAGGGGGTGGGTGGGCGGGTCAGAGGAGCACGTCTGCACAGCCTCATTATCCCTAGGCAGCAGACAAGTCGGTAAAACAAACTGTCCTTTCCAAACTTGTTGGGTACAGGAATGAAACAGAAAGTGTCAAACAAAGAAACGTAGAACATCTCAATTGAAATTAGGGGGCATTTGCTTTTCTTGGTAGGCCAATGTGAAGGTTTTGCCCAATGATTTAGTTTTGTGCAGAGCTAGTTTCCCCACAGGGAAAGTTGTGGCAGTCATATTCCAGATTGTTTTTGGCTTGATTTGCAGAATGCTTTGAAATGGCCCCCTCCCCCTTCCCCCATGGGATACTTTTGGAAAAAACGTTACTAGCTGACTAGTCCTGAAGGTCCTGGGGGGATAATTAATCGACAGTGAAGGGACAGATCATTGGCCAGAAAAGGCTGGGTTTGGACTTCAGATCCTGTAACATGGAAGTTGGACGAATTAAGTTTGGATTCAACACTGTGCAGTTTACATAGGAGAAACTGGAAACGTCTTACGTTTGTACAACTGGATTAAGTAAATTCACTGGATAAGGTGAATAGTAAATTTAGCCTAGATTGTTTTTAATTCATTGCGATCCAGATAAAAGGCTCTGTAGCTCTTTCTCTGTTATAGGACCCTGCAGGTCAAAACTCTTCTCATGTCACCTTTGTGTGAAGTTGCTTAAAGCTTGATCATTTGTGCATCAGATGCAAAGCAATAATACTGTTTTGGAGTTAAATAAGGCATTGTCAATATTCTTCCTCAGTTTTGCGTTTGACTATGAATCTTGACTGAATCCAAGAGAAAGATGGTCTCAGATATACAGTAATTTAATGGTGGTCTCTGACTAAATGGGTGAATAACTATGTACAATTTGATAGCTGTCCTGCTGTGACAGAAAGTAAGGTTTCTAAGGCACACTAGGAAATGAAGGGGAATGTGGGAGATGGAACCAGGCTAAATCATATTGATGAAACAAGATTCAGGTTCCAAATGCACAATCCGTATATTTGATTTGAATTTTGTCAAAAGCACACAAATCCATTTACCATGATGAATGTGAAGGAGTAGATTTGGCAGATGAGTCCAGACGATTCCCCGAGTCTTTTAAAAACAGATAGCTGATCAGATCTGGTTCAGCGATTTGTGATGGAAAACTGCTGTGTCTTTGGAGGCTGATCTGGAAAACTCCCAAATTTCTGTTTTAATTCTTGGGACTCAATAAAAAAAGTCTTAAGAACGCAAACTGTAGCCAGTGTTGGTTCTTTTCACCAGAGCAGCAGCCGCCTTTTTTAAGAACTGTACCGAACAATTCAGACAAAAAGGTCTACTCTTAGTTGACATGTGGAAAGTGGTACGTGTGCGCATGTTTGATGTCTCATGTCTGCCCCGGCTCGATGTTGGAAGACATTCTTTTTTGCCAGAAACTGGAACAGAGTAGTTAGCACACTTCATCAAAGGCCCTTAATATAATTCAGCTTCAAACCCAGTGGTAGAGGCAATTACCAAGTCCTGAATGCCTCTTCCAAACAGAACGGCCAGCATCCTGGTACAGTTTACCTCTGGCTGCTGCACTGAAGTTTTGAAATAGCTGGGGCCTGAATTGTTTGCCATGCTTGGCCGGGATTTTGAAACCCTTCATTCACAGGCAATACCAGTCCCAGGGGAGCACAGTTTCATTCCACCACTGACTGAGATCAGAAGGCAGTCGCCCGCTGGCCAGCATCAGCTGCTCACCTCTAAAGCCCCTGTCAAAGAGTGCAAGTGTCCAGCCCTCACAGACTGGCGTTACACAACAGAGACGGGCAAGTCTTAAAGGAATTGCAGTCGCCTGTTTTGGGGGTAGAGGCTTTCAGAATGGACCCATGACCGAACGGGAAGCAAACGAGAGATGTTGCCGTGGAAGGTGGAGAGAATGCAGAAATTCCATTCCAACAAAATCATTCCAACAGCCAATTTTAAAGGTGTATTTTTGAAAAAAATCATTAAACATTAC